GACAGTTTAACGTGGCACAAAACTGTCAGTAGGCCTAAGAGTAACACAGAAGTAAAAGGACATCTAGGATAAATGTGCATATCATGGGTTGAATCTGGAATAATCCTGAAAGTGTTTGCTATGTTCAGTAAGTACTGTCCAAGTGGAGAAGAACCACATCCATTATGTTTATGTATATTTCTTCTGAACAATCCCGACAAGTAGTAAATGTTCCCGCTTTTAAAGTTTGTCCACAAGAAATGCCCCAGCCTATCAACTGTCTATTAAACTTTGTGCAGAATTTTATTTTCTGAGTGTCTACATCTAGCCCTCATTCTGATCTTATATTTTAATCTGTGTTCCATGAGTCTAATTTTTACTTCTGTGTTCTTTATTTTACCATATTCCTAAAGCCACTTCAAATTTCAAGTGAAACAACATGGTATGTGAATAAATAGTTTCAAAACATAAAAAATGAACTTTTATTTTTGACAAGGCAATGCACAGGAAGTTTCAGTTTTGGATTATGGGTATTCCACTGAAAAGCCACTGTTTCTCCCTAAACTGACCTGACCCCATGCTGAACACATTTAGCATAGACACTGCCACTTACCCTCACCAGGTGAAGGCATAGCTCCCAGTTGTCATCTGTGTGTGGCTTGACTTTTCAAGTATCTTATCAGCTGCTGAAGAGTGGCTCACAGTTGTTTGTATATTCACTGTATGCTCTTACATGCTCAAGACAAGGTAGGGGGTAGGCCATGGGATAGGGAGACTTGGGCCGGTACTTGGTTTGGAAAATGTGAATTGGTTGGCTATACTATGGTACTTTGATGATATTAACCAGTTGTTTTCCTTATGCTGTGACAACTCAAAACCAAAACTTATATAAAATCTCTCCTACTGGATGTTAACCTGAGAACCTCTCCTACTGGACATTAACTTGACCTGAGTATTCTTTGGATTCCAATTTGGTTTTTTGTTTGTTTGGGGGTTTTTTTGTTTTGTTTTGTTTTGTTTTGCACTAGGAATCAAACTCAGGACCTTGTGCTTGTAAGGCAGTGGTGGCACCACTGAGTACAGTCCCCAACCCCTTGGATTGCGGTTCTGAAGTGACTGTGTTGAGTCAGGTATAAAAGTTTGGAATGTGTGTGTGTGTGTCCCCCTCTGAGCTTTCTTTTCTTATTTTTTTTCTCAGACAGTTCTGGTTCACACATCAGAGACAACTCGTCTTAGATATTTCATTGAATTGTTGCTTGAAAAAGGAAAGCCACTCATGCTAGTCGGAAATGCAGGAGTGGGGAAGACGATCTTTGTGGATGATATACTGGCAAGTCTGCCTGAGGATTACATAGTGTCGCGTGTGCCTCTCAACTACTACACAACATCGGCAGCCCTGCAGAGTAAGTGCGTCTCCTGTTATCTACCTGGGGATCCAGTCCTGAATCAGATAGGCAGAGTCAACACGCACTGTCCTCTTGTGCTTTGTGCTCCATTGGCCCAAGGTGAAAGGGGTGGGAGATTTCTTGAGCTATTCTAGAGTCTCCTGCATGGTGGTGGAGAAGGATTGGAAGACCAGGCTGTGGCTGGACCAGCGCAGGCCACTGGTTGCATTAGGCACAGGGAAGGACAGCACTCGGGTCATGGTGAGGTCATGTCGGAGGCAGTGGACAGTGTGAGGTCACGGTGTATAGACTGAGGTCTCCAGAAAAGCAGAGGTGGAGTAACCTTTGGCCACAAGATGGAGATCATCAGGAGAGCCCGACATAGAAGATGACCCGAGACACATTTCTGGTATTAAACTATAGGCAGGAGACACCTGAAACCGTGGGATGAATGAATCATCAGAAGATGGAAAGAACATGAACAAGTAACCAAGGACAGAATGTGTGCATCCTGCCAGTCATTTCTCAGACTAAATTATATATTTATTTTAGGAGTTCTTGAGAAACGTCTGGAGAAAAAAGCTGGCCGTAACTATGGCCCAGGAGGAAATAAAAAATTGGTTTATTTCATTGATGACATGAACAGGCCCGAAGTGGATTTGTATGGCACTGTTCAGCCACACACACTGATGCGGCAGCACATTGATTATGGACACTGGTAAGCCATTCTCTGTTTTTATTTTCTATCTTAATCTGATGCAATCGATGAACATTTTAAGATGAAATTATCCCCAACTTCTTACTCTTCCAGGACAATGTTTTCTGAAATAGATTTTGGATTTACATTGTACTTCTTGTCATCATATGAAATGGAATAATTTCCCTTTGCGTCTTTGAAGTTTCGATTGATAAGAAGCTTAGCAACCTAGCTGTCCAGAAATCATATCCTCTTTAAGATTTCACTCAGACTAAATTTTTGAAAGGAAGCTTGTCCTTACTTTTAGGACAGCCGTATTTAGCACTACCTAAGAACTGCTGTCTGCAATGCATAACATTAAATATGAGGGAATTAAAATAACACTGAGAGTCCACCTTAGCCCAAAAGAATTGCCGTCATCAAGAAATCAAATAATAATAAATGCTGGCAAAGGTGTAGGGGGAAAAGGAACCCTTCTACGTAGTTGATGGGAGTGTAAACTAGTATAACCATTATGAGAATTCTTTAGAAACGTAAAACTAGAAACTTCATTTGACTCAGCTATTCTCTTTCTAAATATCTTCCTAGAAGAGTTTAAAACATCATATTATGGTGATACACACATACTATATTTATAGCAGCGCAATTCTTAATAACTGAATCTTGGAAGCAGCCTGTACATCCATCAATAAACGTATGGATAAAGAAAAGGTGGTGTCTATACACAATGGAATACTACTCTGCCATAAAGAAGGATAAATGAGACATTTGTAGGAAAATGGATGCACCTTGAAAATATAATGTTAAGTGGGCTGTGGATGTAGCTTAGTGTCACCCCATGCCTGCTTTGCAAGCACAAGCTTCTGAGTTCAATCCCAGGTACATACATACATATATATATATATATACATACACACACACATACATACATATACATATACATACACACACATACATACATACATATATATATATATAATGTTAAGTGAAATAAATCAGATACACCAGCTTAAATACCATAGATTTCTCTCATGAGTAATCCAAAGTACATACACAGTAAAGAGCAAAAAAAAAAAGATGGAGAAAAAGAAACAGGGGAATAGATCTTATGCAGATGGGAAGCGGGTGTAGAGGCCAAGGGTGAGGGGAGAGGAAGATGTGTCATGTGCATGTACCAGCCTCACAATTACTAAGAACATTGTATGTCAACACATGAACTGTAATGATGATGATGAAGAAGGGAAGGGGAAAGGGAGGGGAGAGAAAAGGAGGAAGATGTGGGAAGGAAATCCAGAGATGGAGAGAGGAGGGAAGGGAAGGGAAATAAAAAGAGTCACGACGCGTTAAGTACGCCACGTACCTACTACTCAAGTTGAACGTAAACATCATGTACAGCACACGTGCTCATAAAAAACCGAAGTAGACCTGGGGTGAGCCCCGTCCCATTCACAGAGCCTTGGTGTGGTTACAGCGTAGTTTCTAACCAGAAAGAGAGTCACATTAGAGTCAGCAAGCAGGAACAATTTATAATGATTCATCTTCGGATACTGATTTTGGCACCCAAGGAGCTGTGTCAGTTTCTGAGCTGCAGTTTTGATCTCCCCACATAAGGCATGGAGGAGAGAAGGAGACCCCTTGTGATGAAACCTTTTACGAACTGATGGATTCTGATGCTTTTTGATCTCCGGTATTTGGTTTTAAGGTGCCACCTTTTGCCTTTCAGGTATGATAGACAGAAAGTGATGCTTAAAGAAATCCACAACTGCCAGTATGTGGCCTGCATGACTCCCACAGTGCGCAGCTTCTCGGTCAGTCCCCGGCTGCAGGTCAGCTCTCAGTCCTGCCCCTCCCAAACACCCGCAAGGCCTAGGGCTCCGAAATTGTGCATCTGGCTTCTTGGTGCTTTTGAGTACAGAGCAAGACTCCTAATGTTTTAGAGCAGATTTAAGGTGTACAACTAAATGAGCAGAACACAGAGTTCCCATCTCCTTCCTCCCGGCCCGTTTTTATTTGACCCCCTACTGTGTTAACCTCTTGCATTAGTTACAGTTGACCAGGCAGTGATGACACATTATTACTAACCAAAGCCCAGAGTTTAACATTCTTGTGTTGCATGTTCTGAGGGCTTTGATAAACATAAAGAGCAGAATCCACCATTATCATATCAGAGAATAGTTCACAGCCCTAAAATCCCTATGTTCTACCTCTCTATCCCTCCCCTCTGAACCTGGGGCAACTGATCTTTTAAAAATATTTTCAATTTAATTTTGTTGTGGTGGTAACTACATGTCACATACAATGTATTGCCTTAACCATTGGAAGTGTACAATTCAGTGATAGTAAATGTTTTCATAATGTTGTGCAACCATTACCACCATTTATCTTCATCTTTTTATCTTGTGAAGCTGAACCTCTGTAACCACTAAGCAGGAACTCCACATCACTTCCTCTTCCAGTCTCTGAGAGCCACCATTCTGTTTTCTGTCTCTGGTGTTGGCTAGAACTGCCTCCTATACATGGAATTACACAGTGTCTTTCTGTGACTGGCTTATCTCACTTAGCATAATGTGCCCAAGGTTCACACATGTTGTGACATACTGCAGAATTCCCATCTTAATGCTGGATAATGTACCATTTTATGTACGATAGACAGCATGTGGATTATCCAATCAGCCATGGATAACACGACTCAGCCGATGCACATGATGTTGCTGTGAACATAGGAGGACAAATTTCTCTTGAAGACCCCACTTGCACTTGTTTTGAACACACGCCAAGAAGAGGAATTACTAGATCTTATCATAATTGTTCTTTAAACTTTTTAAGGAGCCGCTGTTCTTTTTTCCGTATCATTGTTTTATTCCCACCAACACTGCACAGGGGTTTCAATTTCCCCACATCCTTGCCAACGTTTGTTTTATTTTTTTTCTCAGTGGCCATCTAGTGGTTGAAATATTATCTAATTATACTTTTGATGTGCATTTCCCTAATAATTAGTGACACTAAATATCTTTTTATATGCTTATTGGCCATTTGATATCTTCTTTGGGGAAATGTCTATAAAATCTTTTGCCCATTTTTAAATCCTTTGTTAGGTTTTTAGATTTTCTGTATATTTGAGCTATTTTATTAATATTTATTTCAAATTTATATTTATTGATTTTATTAATATTACACACTGGTATCGTTACTTGTCCGGTGTCCACAACTGTGCCTTTTCCGGAATATCTTACAGTTAGAATCATATAGTATGCAGCCTTTTAGATGTCTTCTTTCACCGAGCAATGCTTATTCATGGTTCCTCTATGTCTTTTCATGGCTTGATACATCCTTTCTTCTTATTACTGAATAATATTCATTGCACAGATGTATCTAGTTTATTTACTCACCTGTTGAAGCAGAAGTTGGTTGCTTTCAAGTTTGGATAGTAGGCATAAAGCTTCTATAAACATTTGTGTGTGGGGTGTTGTGTGTTCAAATAAGCCTCTTAATATGACAACAGCCAGGCTGGGGATTTAGCTCGGTGGTTCTGCTGCCTGCCTTGCAAGTGCAAGGACTCAAGTTCGATTCCTGGTACCAAAAATATATATATATACATATACATATATACATATATGTGTGTGTGTGTGTATATATATATATATACA